TGAACAGTGGTGAAATATAGACTGGTAAATACTGCAGGTGGTCACACTCCTGTGTGCCCAGCATACACAGAACAGGCAGGAGCTGGACACCAGGTGAGGTGAAGGGTGGGAAGGCTGAGGGGGGCCAATAGGGACAGGATCCTGAAGACAGTAGGAGAGTGGTCTGCTGCCACACTCAAGACCATTTTGAAGTAGAGAGTTTGATTTTCATCTAGACTTTGAAACTAAAAAGATGTGAGAATTAATATTAGATAAACTCATTTGATTTGGTGAATATTTCTCTCAGTCATATCTGATTCCATAAGTTTGGACTTATCCGAAAGCCAAGAATTTGATGTATTTTACTCTTCCTGGTGCCAGTTTATATCAAATGAAAAACATTTCTTGATCTTGTTCGTGTTGTAGGGAACAAAGGAACAGAGGAAGTGGTTACTGTATCCAGTCAATATTATTATTTTCACGTTGGGTAGAACATGGGCACCTATGAGATAATAGTACAGTCACTGCATCAAGAGCTTCAGGATTTATTATTTTTGATCTTGTGACAGTTAGGTTAGATTGATTGGCTCTAAAGATGCCTAGGGGATTCGTGAAACACATTGCATGTGGTGATTCATGGGGGTGTGACCTTGGGAATTTTGTATATATTTCCTAGACCTTGTTTCCCTAGTGCTTACGGCAAGCCTTTCTACTCACATTTTTGCCTAGTGTTTCTTACTAAGTTCAAAATAATACAGCTAGGTTCAAGCAGGAAGGTTAGTTTCCAGAGAAAAAGGAAGTCTTTGTTGGCCATGCCCGAAAAGTAGATTGGAAATACCAGAACAAGCTTCATAGCCATCTCCCTACAGTATCAGATGCTTTCAGTGCTTACAGAGGAAAGAGTTTCCCTACAGGCAAACAAAGAACCTGGATTTAGAGCACACCCAGATAATCCAAGATGATGTGACTCAGCATAGCAAGCCTCAAATTGCACTCACGTGGCTCCATTTTGCAAATATGGTCACGTTAATAGATTCTGGGGATAAGGATTTAGATTTATATTTAGGTTGACTGCCTCCAAGGCAGAAACAGAATGGCAGAAGGAAATGGTGGTTAACTCCTGTCAGCCAGGAAGCAGAGAGATAAGGGAGAAACCAGGAACCACCAGGATCTGCCTCTTCAGGAGGCTTCACCGCCTAACATCACATTCAGCTGCAAATTCATCAGAGATTTATGTGTAATGCTCTTATGATCCATTTACCTCCCAAATACATGACATTTATGGGGGAACATTTTAAATCTAAACTATAGCTATTAATTCCCTCTGCCTTTTCCTGAACCAAGAAGCAAAAAGATCACTATCTGTAATAATTCACAAAAAAGGAAATTTAATAAAAGAGATGCAAGAAAATAGAAACTACATAGAATATGTAGCTTCATTTCATGCCAGGAGCATAGCAGATCTTCAGAAAATACAAATCATTGTTTTCCCTTAGTTTAAACAAGAAAACCAAATAGCTGCCTTCAAACAATGGAAGTAGAGTTCTGTGGAAAATGAGAAATAGATGAGTTGCTTGATGGTTTTATGGGACTGAATTGTGATCAACAAATATAAGTCTATGTCCTTATACCCAGCATCGATGTGACTTTATTTGTATCTGTGTGGATGCAATTTGAGGTTTAAATGTCATGAGATGATATCATCTTGGATTATCCGGGCATGCTTTAAATCCAGTGAAAAGTATCCTAATGGACATACAGAAAACAGAAGGCTGTGTGCCCATGGAAGCAGAAATTGGAACAGTGTGTCACCAACCAAGAGTGTCTAGCTTCACCAAGAGCTGGAAGAAGCAAACAAACAAATTTCCCTGTAGACTTTGAATGAGTTCAGCTCTCCCAGATACTTGCTTTTGAATTTCTAGCCTCAAGAAATACTAGAGAATATGTTCTTGTTTCAGATCACCAAATTTGTGGCAGCCCTAGGAAATGAAAACAAAGATCCAGAGACAGAACTAGGACAGCAGGGAAAAACTGAAAGGGCAGACTTTCTAATAATCGGAGCTGCTCGAGAGGGTGAAGAGTCAAGTGCAATAATTGGCTCTAGTCATTAGAAAGGTGACTGCATGCCTGAGGAGTCAAGAAGGAGAGAGTCCACCGCACGAGGTGGAGGTCTACTGACACTTTTCCATCTGCTTCTGCCGGATTTACATGTTTCTGAGAATAGTTTTCTGGAATAACTTCTCCAGAATTCCCAGATTTTATTCATGTTGTTGCCTACTGTTTCTTATTGAGTTAAGAATAACCCAGCTAGGTCCAAACGGGAAGATGAGTTCCCAGAAAAGGAAGACGTCACCGTTGGTCATGCCTGATAACCAGACAGGGACTAGCAGTCTGTGCAGCCGCACAGACCTCCGCACAGTCGATATATCAGATGTTTCAGTGCTTGCAGAGGAATGAACTTTCCTGTGGACAAATAAAGGAACTGTCTTGTTTATATTAATATTTCCTTTTCCTTTGTATCAGAAGCCTACGTGGGGACAAAAACGTTGTGTAATTTCAGTTGACCTTAAAGACAACTAAATTATTTTCCTTTTCTTTATGACAATAAATAACAATTGAATCTAGTTATATTATCTTATTAAGAAACCATAGGTAGATTTTAATTTGGACTTCAGTAGTATGAAAGGGACAACTCCATGATCCTCGTGAGATTGCAGACACAAGTATGCTTTTTGGAAAAGTCCAGTGACCTCTGTATCAAGTCCAATGGATATATTTTTCTTTTCTCTGTATATCCTATACTGGAATCTCTACTGAAGTTTCTTCCTCATTGTTTTCTATGATAATCTATACTCTTGACTTACTATTCATCTTTCCAGCCCAGGTGTGTGTATGTTTACCTTTTTTGGTTCTTGAAAGCTTGGGTATAAGTCTCCTACTTTCTCTTTGCATAGTCTTTCTCCGTATGATCTCATTCACATTTGTGGTTTTCATAAACAAATATATATTCATAACTCTAAAACTATGACTTCTAGCCCAGACCTCTCTTACAAGGAAATGTACATATATCCAACTGTCTGCCAAACAGTCTTACCTAAAGTCTCAAAAGCAACTAAAAGAGAAAAGGTTCAAAGATGAGCTCTTGACCTTTCCCAGCCCTGTAACTGGTCTTCTTTCAATTTTTCCCTATGATAAGGGACAGTATTATTAACCATTCAGCATACAAGATAAAAAATCTGGCAGACACACTTAATAATACCCTGCCCATCAATTTCCATATCCAATTAATCAAAGTCCTAGTACTGCTACATTGGTAATATAAAATATACATCTCTGCATACTCACTGTTATTATTTTATTTTAGAGATTACTTTAGACATTGGAAAGACACTGATTCTCTCCAATATAACAAAATAAATTTTCTAAATGCAGATGCTATTCCCTTGATTCATATCTTCTAGTACTCTTAAATATGAGGTCTATGACAAGGTGAGCAGTCTGCCCTTCACATATTGCATGTTACACCATTTCCTCTGACGTGTACTTTATTAATACTAAAAATATTTTATAAACCACCATTAAATTGAGACGCTTTGCTCATATGTCCATGATATCTGCCCAAGAAATTCTACAGATTTTTGTTAGGTTTTCTCATATGACTGGGAACCAAGGTCACCATTCCCCAACAGATGCACTGTTTCCTTTCCCCTCTTCTCCCCTTCTCTATTCTCCTCTCCTCTTTCTCCTCCCCCATTTCCCCTCTCCTCTCCATTCTCCTTCTCTTTGGCATGATTTTTATTTTCTCTTCTTATCCAAACGTCCTCCTCATTTTTCTGTCCAGACTCCACTTTGTATCACAGGTCTCTCAGGCATTTTGGAGGACGCTAGTGCCTTAGCTATCTTCTAAAGTATTTTAGAAATGCTGAGATTCTCTACCTAACTTTCCAAAAGATAAGATACACTGGATGTTGGAATCTGAAGAATGTGAAATAGAATCTCAACTTTGCCCATTATTAGTCTAGTAACTTTGAAAACATTTCTTACCTTGTTTAGGCTTAATTCTTTACTGTAGGGAAACAAAAGAAATGTGAAGCGTCAGTGCTTTCGTGTAGAAGCATTCAAGTTAGTTTCAATTAGATTGAGAGGAGCAAGCAGAAGAATGAAGGCAGAAAAGCCAATGAATATGGTAGGCTATAAAACTTTAGCAGAGCTCTGGATATTTCTGAATTTACTAGAAGAAAAATACTATAGATGCCCTGTGAGTTTATGAGAAAACTGAATTTCAAAAGAAACCACAAGCATAACTACAAGTACCCGTTTGAGGCATTGAAGCAATAGTTGTCTACCACTGCCTTAAATAAGCAGATGATGTATATGGTCTGTGGTGTAGGTCCTACATAAATATTTGTTCCCCCTGTACTGCGTTTCACCTTTCAGGATGTTTCCATTTTCTACTTCTAAGTATTAGGTCCAGAAGTGTAAGCATAAATTGTTGATATCCATGCTTTAGAGCTCCCAATCTAAGCAGGCAAGAACCTAGCAGCTGGAAGAGTTCCAAATGGTGTTTGGAGAATACGATCTCCTCATGTTCATGGCATTAGGTAGTGCGGCTCATCCTGCATGAAGTCATCCTGCTTCTCCCTTCCCATTAATTTATCTGGTTCTCCCAGTAGCACTAATGCAGCCTAGAAATGGCAGCATTTACTCACAAGTTAACTCATGTACAGATTCCTTTTAACTCCTCATTGGAAGAAGGCTCCCAGTTCTTTCATTACAAATAAAAGTCCGAGTATGTAATCTTACTAGTACTCACAGAGGAAAGTTTTTAAAGGCTTTGTAAACATTGACATGCATTGCATCACATGGGCCTTTTGACTGTCTTTGTATAGCAGGATCCTTGGCTGTCTGGGAATGTCTGGCAAGCCTTTCCTTGGTGCTTTGTTCTGCTAGAATGTGCACATTTCTACTGGCAGTCTGGTACATGGTAGTCCTCACTGCTTGCCTCTTCTGATCTCTCCAAGCCCTGTGAATCCAGCTATCTGGCTCCTTTAAGAAGAGGAAAGCATAACATGTGGAGAGATGCAAAGAAAGAAGCTTCTATGGTTCACCTTCCCATGAGCTCCAGTGGAGAGCCTGCTTCTTTATGGAAAAAGTCTGCTCCTGTGCCCCACGTCACCTTCCATTTCAGCCATTCTCCGAGGCTCCTTTTGCATTACATCCTTTCTTGTATCATCCACCCACACTGAAGCCAGCACAGGTTCAGAGGGAGGCAGAAATCCTGGAAACACACAACAGGGATCTTAGGTGAGTGACAAATTAGGAGTTCCTTAATGAAAACAGAAGGACTACCAATTTATTACTGACTTAAAATAGTAACCAGAACTTACCCTTGCTAAAGACTCTTACCTTTCCCCAATTCTGCCAAAAAAGTGAAATATGAAGAAAAAAAAGATGATCATTTCTACTGGAATTTCTTGCTCAATGCCTTCCCTTCACCATGTTTCAATCAAAACTGGCACAACAGCTCACAGACTTTATCCTTTTCCTTCTAAAACACAGTTTCTAAGATGTTATCGGTTATTTTCCTGGTACCAATATCAGAAAAGAGACTTTTAAAACCCTAGTTTCCATTACTCCATTAAGAAGATGGTCTACTATACTAATTCGCAGTAATGTGTGACTTAATTTGTTCTGTGAAAAAAATGCTTTCACGCTGCAGTAAGGAATTGTTGAAAAGGCGTATTAACTGAGTAAGCTAAAAATTGGTCACAAATGATCTCAGCTACCAACAGATGTATTTTACTTGGCATACAAAATAGTTTAGCAAAATCTGGGAATTTTCTATAAAGTTGAGTTCCCTGATTTGTTTTAAACACACACACACACACACACACACACACACACACACACACACACACACACAGATCCTCCCATCCCTGGCCTATGACTTCCTTTAGATTGGCCATGACTCTGGGTTTGCCACTAATCTCATCACATCTTGTTTTATGTATAGGAAAGTCATTACTTACTATGGTCGCCTAACTCTTTATGGAACTGGAATTACCAGCTGGTTATCTAAATTTGACGAACACGTATCTGGATTTCAGGTGTCCCTCCTCTAAGGGAGCTTCCTCTGAGACCAGCTCCACCCTTTTCTGGAGTTTGTTTTCTTTTATAACACATTGCTGCTGCTCCCCCTTCCTTCCCAGAACCCTGAAGCATCTCCAGTGCAGCCAATTTTGGTGTTTTCTGTAATTCCGGCACAGTCAAAAGGTTGAAAATTCCTGGCAGGCACATTGGGTCCCATCCAGCTCAGTAGGGAGCATTTCCTGATAGATCTATGGAACTTACTTTTAGGAAATTATTTAAAGTGTCATTTCTTTGGAGAATTCTATCTTGTTTTGTGATTTCCTTTGAAAGACTGATCTGATGCTATAGTTGTATCATTAGGCAGGCAACAGTGCAACAGTTCCACATAACCAAAATATTTTTCCTAAAATCCAAGAGGGAAGATAGATGAGATGGTTTAAATTCCAGAGAAGAATGATTATAAAACACTATTTGTGTAAACCAAATTCGCTATGTGGTTCCTCCTAAGATATCAGCATGAGAAACAGAATATACACCTTCACAGCACATGCTCCTTGTTTACAAAATTCCTACCGCTGTCCATCAAACATTGGTTACATGTCTTCCGCTCTTAAAGTATGTTTTCAGATTTTTTAGACTAAGATCCCATAGCACATTCATAGACTCACATTTTAATGTTACTCTGTAGTGTTTATGTCTTATTTTCCCTAGTGACCTGTGACACGTCATCTACATCCTATTTTTTTTGTCTCCATCTGTTATAATCAGGCAAACAGAAGATACTCAGTGAATATTTGTAGACTACGACTATTTCAACTTTGGAATCCTGAAGAACTTCAATTGTTTCTATTTTATGCTATGGAAAAAATGGAAACTATTGAAATGCACACAGTGATACGGGCATTTTTTTTTAAACCAAATTCTCACAAGTATATACTCTGCATCATGACATAAAATATACTTTATCCTATGGTTATGTGAATTTTAAAATTAATTTTATTAGTACACTTTTGATATATATATAGTAATGACTTTCATCATAGATAATTTGCATCTCTACAGAATATGCAAAAGAATTGAAAACACTACACAACTCAAAAGATGCTTTCAAGTGTTTCAGTGGATTTTATTAAAAACTCAAATGTTATGCTTCTGGCACATTGCAGCCTATTTTTCTGCCAGGAAATTTTCAAACATTGTGCAGAGATCCTCCTATGACTGGGTGCTTACATTGCCACAATCACTTTTGATAAACAAACACAGGATGGCTGACAGTCACGGAACATAAAAATCCACCCTTCTTCCTTGGAAGCTATTATGATTTGACTATGGATTATCCTTAAATATGCATGTTCTGGAAGCCTGGTCTCCCACATGCTGAAGTTGAAGCTGTAGAATCTTAGAGGTGTGGGGCTTAGTGAAAGGTAACTAGATCATGGGGACCCACCCTCAGATCATTATAAAGCAAAGTAGTAGATATCTTCATTCCTATCTTTCCACCATGTGACACAGCAGAAGGCCCTTGTCAGGATGCTGATCCGGTTTTCTGGGTCCTCTAGCCACTAAAATACTAAAGGAAATAAAACTCTGTTGCCATGACCCATGCAGCCCTTTAGGTTTCTTGGGTGAAGGACCACAAGAGGATGAGAAAGTGGAGACAAAGCTGGGGTCAGGTGGAGCCCTTACCCTCCTGGTGGGAAGCAAGGAACTGGCTTTTCACTGTGGGAGTGTTTATTTATACCTTTTAGCAACTTAGTGTCATATATTGTTCTAGCCAACCACTATTCAGATTGTCTTGGGGGTAGGTGTTCTCTGGGTTGAAGCAGCCTCTTCATGTGTCTTGCCATGGGTGCTCTTTGTTCTGGAATGGTCATGCTCCAGCCTTGCCCATATGGTCAATTTTCAGCTTCAGTGACTCCCAACACCCTTTTCTTATGAAGTACCCACCCTTGAGTTACAGCAATACAAATGGACTAAGATAAGGAACTGGTACCAAGTGGAGCTGTTTCTATACAGATGCCTGAAAATGAAAAAAACTGCTTCAGAATTGAGTAATAAATTTGGAGGAACAGACTGCAAAAGTCTGTATTGCTGTAAACAGCATCGTAGGTGATTTTGGTGAACTCTCAGAAGACAAGGAGATTAGAAAAGAGCTAAAGCTTGAGTCTGGTTAAAGGTTCATGACCAGATGCAAATGTGGAGAGCAAAGGACAAGTGGGTGGGGTCTCAGCTGGAAATGAACATGCACCAGTTAGAAATTAAAGCCCATCCTTGTCACATCACTGAAAAGAATGTGTCTGCATTGACGCCAAGGTCTAGGGCTTTATGGAATTCCATTATTGAAAATTTTGACCTCAGGTATGTGGCAAGTCATTTCTACACAAAATATAGACAAGCATGGAGAGTGCTTTTAACTACTTATGTTGAGTAGGAAAAGGATAAAGATTATCTATAGGCAGCATTTATAGTTAAAAAAAGAAACAGCATATGCTGTCTGGGTAAGGAGAAAGCAAAAAAGAGACAACTCATTTAAAAACCTGGCATGGGTAAATTGGCGTGCACATACTGTGCATTGGGACAACTGAGAAGAGGCATTGAGGGCATCTCAGACATCTGCATGACTAACCCTCCCACCGCAGGTCCAGAGAAGTCTGAGACAGAGTGATTTCAGAAAATAGGCAAGCAGTGACCTCCCACATGCTCCCTGCCCAAGGCTACCTAGAGTTCAGCTTCCCTATTTCCAGTGGTGTGTTCTGCCGTCATTCCAGCTCATGCCAGCACCCTGAGGAAAACAAGCAGCAGACCTTGGTAGCCTGCGTATGGTGCTTAATCTGCAAGCACACACTATTCAGGAGCTCTGTGGTCACTGCAGTTTCCACAGAAGTTTCAGGGGAAACCCTGGGAAGGTGCAAAACTGCCACAGAGAGCCCTGATGGGGTAGTGTCTAGTCGAGCTACTGGAGTAGAGCTGAGCCAGTAGAGCCATTAGCAGTGTGAAACACCGTCCTGGGGAAGCTGTAGGCACCACTGTGCACCAACAACCCATGAGAGCAGCCAAAAGTTGTCCCCTCAAGCCCCCACCCCCACCCTAAGCCCCAGGGTGCACAGATATAAAACTGGGAGCTATAAAGTTTAAAGACAGCCTTACAGGTTTTTGGACTCGTTGAGACCTGTAACTTAATTCTTTTCGTAAAAAGAAAGTTTACGCTGTGCCTGTTCCACCATTAACCCTGGAAATGTGTAACTTGTTCTTTATCTTAAATGTTAACAACTGAAAAGAATTTTCCCTGAATCTCAGATGAGATTCTGAACTTGGACTTTGGGTGAGGCTGAAATTAACTAAGACTTTGGGAATATTGCCATGGAGTGAATGCATGTAGTATTGAGGTGCATGTGAGCTATGGGGACCATGGATGTGATTTTAGTTTGTCCCCTAAAGATTCACATGCTCTGGCACTTGGTTCCCAGTAAGATGGATCTGGGGTGATGAGACCTTTAAGAAGTGAAGTTCAGTGGAAGGTAATTAAGTCAGGGGAGGGGGGCACCACTCTCATGAACAGACTAATGCATTTTTGCCAAAGGCAGGTTTTTGTAAAGTGAGGTTCATTCACTTGGCCTTTATGCATGTGGTCATCTCCCGTTCCACGTCACCACCATGGTGTAGCTGGTGGGGGATAGGAAGCTCACTAGCATGCTAGCATTGTGTTTCCTGGACTTTGTACTGCCATAAAATAACTTCCTGTTTTTCCTGTCCACTGTCTCAAATACTCCGCTAGCAATGCTTTCTTTGTAGTTCTCATTATATTATCTGTGGTTTTCATTTCATTTCACTCCGTTTCATTCATTTCATTATCTATTATCTGTGGTTTTCAACTGAAAGTGCTAATAATCCTGCTTCTCCAGGAAACATTTGAGAGGGTCTGGAGAGAGTTATGGTTGTCACAACGAAAGGGTTGTCACTACTGGCATCAAATCTGTAGAAGCCAAAGATGCTGGCAAATATCTCACAATGCACAACACAACCCTGCACAACAAAGAATTACCTCATCAAGTTTGTGGCACTCCAAGGTTGAAAAAAGTCTGCTTAACACTAGTAGGATTCTGCCTTAATGTTATACGTGAAATTGGGTCTTTGACAATAAGATGTGTTCGTGTTTCAACAATTCCACAGGATATGGTATTATTTGAAGATAAGGTCATTGCAGATGTAATTAATTTAAAATCCTAGAGTATGATAGGTCTTAAAAGAACACAATACCAATGATTATTCTACACTAGTTAAGTAAATGCAAATATGAGACCATACCAAAAAAGATGATGAAAAACTAAATTTAATGTTTCATTTTAGTTTTATGCAAATACAACAAGATTAAAGAATTTACAAAGCTGGGTGTGATGGTACACTCTTCTATTCCCAGCACTCTGGAGGCTGAGGCAGGAGGACTGTTGTAAATCTGAGACCAGCATGTGCTAAAAAGTAAACTCAAGGCCACCTTGAACTGCATATGGAGTCCCTGTCTCAAAAAGATCAAAACAAACAAACAAACAAAAAAGAGATAATTTACAGTGCTTTACATAGCTCTGTAATAAGCATGTTTGATAAGAACTCACACAGTAAGACAAATGATTTTTACTGAAATATGACATTTTGCCCTTTTGTTAGTAAATCATTTTAAATGGTCAAGTTAATCTCATTCACTAAGTTCACGAGTTTGAGTCTGAAGATGTTGAAATGTTTCAAAGTATGACGTGGAAATAAGTGAATTTCATTATTAGCTTTGTTATAATTATACATGTGTTTGAGATTTAATTTTTAGAATTTCTATATTCTGTTTTTTTAATTAGGTTTTTGAGGTTTTAAGGATGTCTACTACACTGACATTGTGACTGAAGATGGAAATATTTATTGAAATGTAGTTAACCAGATATGTTAAATATATTTGAGCATTTCAGAACAACCACAATAAAGGATTTAAATATCTATTTGCTAAATTTCACTCACCGTACAATATAAAACAATTTAAGTTCACAGTAATCTAGAGGTCTATGTACAGTTTATTTGTAAATGTGCAAACTAATAAATACAATGTTCAAATTACTCAATTTTAACCTAAAAATTCTTTGACTTATAAATTAATTCACTAATTCTTTTCACTTGTGTTTTAAAGCTTAAGAAAAGTTCTGAAATACAAGTTCTTCCATTTGTAACTGAAAAGCAAGGTCATCCATTTGTAGTTGTAGGAGTGTCTTGGTCACTTTTCTCTCATTGATGGGACAAAACACTTATAATGAAGGAAGGAAGGGTTTACATAGCTCAGTGTTTGTAGAGCTTTTAGTCCATAATTAGCTGGCAACAAAGCAGGGTGACATGGCACAGGGGCAACACTTCAAGGTAGCAGCCAGAGCAAAAGAAAGAAAAGTCTCTTCTCCTGGCTTATATTCAGAAAACACCTCCAGCCTCCCAGGGCTGCCATAGCACTCACAAAATCTCCTTGCCCTCCTTTGCATAGGATGAGAATATTTACAAAGTAAGAACCCTGGCTCCCTGCTGAGTCTCTCAGTTAAACTTCTAACCTGTTCAAATTGACCCAATGTATCAACTATAACAAGGAGCTGGAGTGGGAAGGGTTGCACAGTGCACACAAAAACCTCCATGAAAATAAAAAACCTGACTGAAGTCAGCTTGGGACATATCCAAAAAATCTTTTTGATGAAAATGAAGCTAAAAAAGGGTGAAGGAGCCGGCAGGATAGGGAGAGCCTGAGGAGGACAGAGAGAGAAGAGAAATATTTGGAATTTCAGCCTGGAAACCTAGACAAAAACAGGAGGTAAAGGCCAAAATTCCTTAACTGGAAATGTATCCAAGAGGTGGGTAAAAATAAAACTCTCCCACATACTTCACACACACACACACACACACACACACACACACACACACACACACACTTACTGTGGAAAAAGTAACCTCTTCTGGGCCTCTTTTCCCTGAAGAGGCCTTGGTGGGCAGTGCTTTTGGGAAACAAATAAAGCTTTTGTTTGTTTTTCCTTCCCCACAGCCTGGTGTTAGCTCTGTGGCTCAGAGAAAAAGAGCAGTAATTGTTTTCTCTCTCTCTTCCCTCCCTCTGACTTTATACGCTCATTTCCTGATAGGCAGAAAGGCCCTTTCTCTTCCCCTCCTCCACCTCCCAACCACAAGGGCCTCCATTTGCTTTGAGGGCAACATGTGAGAAAGGGAAAGCAAAATGCAGTTGTGTGGTGTGTGATAGGGTTTTCCGTGCAGTAAAGGGAGAAAATAAAGTAAAAATGGCCTTCATTCTAAGAACGTGGAGAGAATTCCATGACCACAAGGGCCTGGCTTTTTCTGCGGGAAACGTGGTGTAGGACATACATGTAGTACCTAACCACGTGGTGTTTAGGGTGGCATTGCTGATGTGCTGGCAGCTGATTGGGACTTTTTTCACGCCACAGGTAAGTTGTCTTAGGGGAGGGGAAAGTGACCTCAAGGAAATAGCCCGCCTCCCACTGCCGGGAATGTCCTATCTAGGGCAAAATCCTTCCGGTTTGCTCCTTCCTCCCACAGATCTTGTCACCATGGTGATACTATATTCTACCATGATGTCCTTAGCAGAGCCAAGACAATACCATCATAGCTCTTAAGCTTTTAAAACAGTGAGCTCAGTAAACAACTTTTCTTTCCATACTCTCCACTCCCAGGTATCCAGTGCAGTAACAAAAAATGGACCAAAGCAATAGTCGTACTCAGATTGGACTACTCCGTGTAGTAATGCACATTTAAGGTTACCTCATGTCTGTTCATGGCTTACTGACGCATTTCTGTTTAGTGATGAATAATACAGTATTCTATTATCTGAATATACCACAGATTATTGATTCATTCAACTACTGGAGCACTTCCAAGTTTGGACAATTATTAAATTTGTCTGCAAATGTTTGCATGGATAAAAATTTTTAACTCACTTGGGTAAATACACAGGTGTGGGATTTCTCTATTATGGAAAGAGTTTCACTTTGTAAAAACTATAAAACTATCTGTAAGAGTGGCTAAACCTTTTGCATTCCCACTATAAGAAGAGATTTTGTTGTTTCATGTGCTCACCAATGTTTGATGTTGTTGGTGTATTAAATTTTGGTCTTTTTAATGGTGTGCAATAGTATCTAATTATTTCAATTTATATTTTTCTAACAAAATATGATGCTGAAAACAGTTTCATTTTTCTTAATTTCCATCTGTCTTCTTTCTGAAGTGTCTCCTTAAATCTTTCACTTATTTTTTAAAAATGGCCATTTGTTTTATTGTTGTTGAATCTGGAGCATATTTTTAAATATATTTTTTGGGTAACATTCCTTTATCAAAGATGTCCTTTACAAATGTTTTCTTCCAGTCTGTGGCTTATCTTCCTTTTTTTGATAGTGGCCTTCATATAACAAAAGCTTTTCATTATCATAAAGCCTAAATTATTTATTTCTGAAAGGGTTTTGGCCCAGACAGGACATTGTAGCTGGTGAAGCCTTAAAGGCGGAACCAAAGAGCTCCTATCTCCCCCACCCCTAGGAATTTACCTGTGATGCCATCTTCCCCACTCCTGGGAACTTACCTATGGCACCAAACCTAGGACCAATGGGCTACCCATGCATCCTTGATGCCCCCTAAGGTTCCACCCCAAACCGAGGCTACTTACATACCCCCGACGCCACGTGTCCACCAGAGAGAAAGCCAGACTCCAGTGGTCAGGGAGTGTCGGTTCTCTCTCTCCGTGTTCTCAAAATAAAGGCCTCTTTTGTTTTATACTTCTCATCTTCTGGATATAATCCTGTCATTTGGGACCATGATTTGGTTGGCAGACGATTGACTCCTGGGACACAGCCAGTTCCCTGTCGAGTCCCCAGCCGATTCACGAACCAGATTACATTCACTTTTCCTCTCCTGGGATCCACTTGACCTGTTGCCAGCCACCTGCACTCAACACCGGCCCAATTAATTTCAGGTGAGCACGCTCTGGAAAATTCTTGGCGCTGGGATCAGCCCCAGGCGAGTTTTTCTCCCCGTTCGCATGGGTTCGTGATGCTCTCACATCCTTAAGACAGCCCAGCGCAGGGTCTTTCTGGGCAACCTGTGTCCACACTCAAAAGTCTCTCATGTCCTTTGGGTTCAGATAGCCCAAGGCAGAGTTTTCTGGATCACCCCCACTGAAAGACTCTCACCTCCCTTAGAGCTTCACGCTCTCATGGCAGAACTGTTACTGACCCCACGTGGACTCCACTCGTAAATCTCTCAGTGACGACTGGAATATACGAGTTTTTTGAACCTTAGCCGCCCTGTGGTGCCTCGGAACAAGTGACGGCTCACTCTCTGGACCAGGGCTTATTTCTTACCTGAATTAGTCATGGGAAACGTGTTTCCTAATTCCCAAAAGACATCTTTACAATGCCTAATTTCCAATCTACGTACTCTTAAGATTAAAAGTACCATAAAAACTAAATGATTAACTTTTTACTGCCAGGAGGTCTGGCTGACCTATCCACTTATCGGTGACCTTTGGCCCAGAGAGGGGACGTTTGACCCCTGCATTCTTAAAAACCTGTATAATTTCTGTCAGGCCAGGAAAGGCTTTCTTTGTTCTGAGAACACACCCATCTTTCATTAAGTCTTGTACTCCCACCCAGATACTTTTAGCTAACTCTGCCGCGACACAAATTGTTCCCTCCTGCCCTCAGGATTTGCTTGATGTACCACCAGTTTTTTCTCGGCCGCTGCCTGCCTACCCCCAAAATTGTTTCTCGCCATTACCTCCCACCGTGCAATCATCTTTCCCTCCCTTGACACCTGATTCTCCCAGCAGCTCTAATCCCTCTGTTAGGGCTTCCTCAAAGTCTCCAACTTCTTATTCTCCTGATAATTCTCCGTCTTCTACAGCATTCTCACCGCCTGTTCACCATACTCGGTCTCAATCGTTGTGCCCTTCTGGCAAGCCATGTGATTGTTCCAGCTTGTGCTGGGAGCAGTCACTATGTTGCAACGCTCCACCACGTGACAGGGCGCTGCCATCTTGGGACGGATCTCACGGTCAATGGGCGCCCCTTGTGGCTCCTCTTGTGAACAGCAACAGCCACCCTGTTGCAGTCCACATGATGGTTCATTGTGCTGCTGACAGCAATTTCATCACTGCAAGGCACACAGTGAGACACCATCTGCCTGTGTTTCCTCTTCCAAGGGTGACTGGCAGCTGCTCTATAGCTGTTCTACAGATAATTGCTCACACCCGCCTACCAGATGGATGGCTGCCCAATGGCCATTTACTCTGCAATCTTCTCCTCAATCTCTGCTACCACTTCAGGAGCAAGCTGGCCCCGAGGGACTTGTTAATATACAAGTGCCTTTCTCCCTTTCTGATTTATCTCAGACTATCCATAAACTAGTTAGCTTCTCTGTTGACCCACAGAATTATATTGCGCAATTTGAATTTATTACTAATTGTTATGATTTATATTTTAAGGATTTTTATGTGATTCTAAATACCACTCTCAGCTCACAAGAGCGAAATCAGCTGTGGCAAGCAGCTCGAGAAGAAGCTGACCTCAGGTGTAAGGCAAACACCACTGATAATGACCCTGGGCCTGCAGCTGTGCCAGAACAAGATCCTAACTGGAACTATCAGAATGGACAAGGTTCAACAAAATTACATAAAATGATTGAGTGTCTGATTGTGGGCCTTAATAAGATTGCTCACAAACATACTAACTATAACAAACTTTTAGAACACGTCCAGGAGGCTAATGAAAACCCAGCTGTGCTCCTAAATCAGCTTCAGGAAACCTTAATTAAGTTTACTAATGTGAACCCAGACTCTCATGAAGGGATGATTGTTGTTAACTCTTATTTTATTTCCCAGTCTGCTCCTGATATTCATGCAAAATTACAAAAGGTTGAATATGGCCCTCAAACTCCATAAGGGGATCTACTTAAATTAGCTTTCTGTGTCTTCAACAACAGAGATAAGATTCAAAAAGAGGAGAAGCAAGCTCAAAAATTAAAGTTTGCTAAATATCAGTCTGACCTTTTAGCAGTGGCACTCAGAGCTCCCAAGACAAGAAATCCACAACAAGGTGTGGCTGCCCGAGTCCTGCCTGGACCGTGCTTCAAATGCAGCAAACAAGGACACTGGGCAAAAGATTGCCCTAACCCTGGCATTCCTCTAGGACCATGTCCATACTGCAACGTTAAGGGCCATTGGAAGAGTGACTGTCCTAGCTGCCAGTGAGTGGGTAAATCATCCTCTAATCCCTTGCCCTCATAGGAGATTCCGTCAATGCCAAATTCGTCACTGACTGACCTGCTCGGACTTGCTGCAGAAAATTGATGGGGCTCGGGGCTCACGGTCCCCACTCCGGTAACCTTGTCAGAGCCCTGCGTCTCACTGGAGGTTTCAGGTAAGATAATATCTCTGCTTGTGGATACAGGGGCAATGTATAGTGTACTTCCTGAATTTTCAGGACCTTGTAGTAAGTCCTTGATTTCTGTTGTGGGCATTGATGGCAAGCCTACCCAGCCTTTGCAAACTGGGCCTATCCCATGTCTATTCCAGACTCTTTTCTTTACCCATAGCTTCCTAGTAATCCCAACATGTCCCACACCCTTTTTAGGTAGAGACCTTCTTCAAAAGCTTAATTTTTCCTTCACCTTCTCTCTCTCCACAGCCCTAATCCTCCAAACAGCCTCACAATGCATCGCAAAACCATTCCTTCCCCTTCCTCCTTCTCTGGCCTACCCAATAGTTTGGGACACATCCAATCCCACTCAGGCTACACATGCCATGCCTGTTTTGATCTGTCTCAGGGATCCCTCAATTTTTCCCTGCATTCCCCAATACCCCATAGCTCCCCAACATTTAAGTTTAACATTAAACCCATATTTAAGTGCCTTTTGGACAACGGTTTTCTTAAACCTACCCATTCACCCCAAAATACTCCCATTTTCCTGGTACTCAAGCCTGATGGGTCCTATCGCCTGGTACAGGACCTTAGGGTAATTAACAGTGCTGTTACCCCAACTCACCCAGTGGTGCCAAATCCATATACCATGCTCTCGCATATCCCTCCCTCCACCACTCACTTTATCTTAAAGATGCCTTCTTTACTATCCCCCTACACCCTGATTGCCAAAACCTTTTTGCATTTACATGGGCTGACCCACACACTCTCAGGTCTCAACAACTTACTTGGACAGTGCTCCCCCAAGGGTTCAGAGATAGTCCCCGCTTCTTTAGTCTAGCTCTCGCTACTGACCTCACAGAACTTGATCTCAAACCTAGTGTTCTTCTTCAATACATAGATGACCTCCTATTTTGTTCTCCATCCCATGTTAGCCATACACCATTCAGCCAGTCTTCTTAATTTCCTTGCTAGTCGTGGATACAGGGTCTCTCCTGCTAAAGCCTAAATAGCCTCCCGAAAAGTCAAATACCTAGGTCTCACTCTCACCCCCACCACTCACTCCATCACCTCAGAGCATAAGGCAATTCTTTGTGATCTCCAGGTGCCCACAACTAAGCAACAGGTTACATCTTTCCTAAGTTTAGCTAATTTCATTCATCTCTGGATTCTTAACTTTGCAGCCCTAGCTCAACCCCTCTACAAGGTCACTAAGGGTCCCTTATCAGAACTCCTGGACCCTAGTAGGCCCATATATGCCTCCTTTCAAAAATTAAAAGAGGCTCTCCTAAAAGCTCCAGCTCTTACCCTTCTTGATCCCACCCAACCTTTCATCCTATACACTACTTGTCAGGGCCACAACACTGTAGGTGTACTAGTACACAAAAAAGGACCTTCTTTTCAAGCAGTAGCTTACTTGTCAAAACAGTTAGATCACACAGTAAAAGGATGGGCTCCTTGTCTCTGAGCTCTTGCAGCTGCATCCCTCCTGACACAGGAAACTAAAAAGTTTACATTAGGGCAATCTATTACAATACACTCACCTCATCACCTATGTGAGCTTATCTCACATAAGGTGTTCCCTGCCCTAATGACCCCTTCTCGCCTTCAACAGGTACACTTAGCTCTCTCTCAAGACCCTTGATTCTTTGTTGCAAATAGTGGTCCTCTTAATGTGGCAACCTTACTTCCCACCTCAGAGGGCCATCCTCACCATGACTGTATTGAGTTTCTACAGATGACTCCCACCCCTTTTCCTCACATTAGTAGCACACCTCTCTCTTCAGCCTTTTGACACATGATGGCATGGTTCATAGATGGCAGTTCAACAAACACAGACAACCAAATCCCTAGAGTGGTCAAAGTTGCTGGACTCCCATCCTGGTTTCACATCACTCAGGCTAAGAGGTGCCCTCCCAGCCCTAAATCTGATCATTCTGAGTGGTCATCTCATCTTCTGTTGCCCACCCATCTCCGTTTCACAAAGGCCTCGCAGCCACAGTTAACAGGCTAAGTCTGTTTTGTTATCCACTTTGGTTCCTAATTTCTTACATTCTATTAATGATCATTTTTACCACAGGACTCTTGACAGTCTTTCCTAAAGACCCCACATCATGTGTAAGATAATCTTCATATTGTTCTATGCGATGACTGTCGCAGTTCTTTCTACCCTCAGCTATCTGGTTAAATGTGACATCCCTGAAAGCCTAAGCCCTTACCTTCCCTATACTGGCACAGCCACCACCTTCCCTGTTCCCCCTATTTTTTCCAGTTCAACTCCTGGACCAGAGACAAGTTTTATACACCTACCCTCCTAACTTTTATGCTTTCAGATGGGGGAGTAATCACCTCTCATAACTTCACTTCTCCTAACCCCACACTTACTTTTCAGAATTCTACCTCACTGTGACAATGATCCTACTTCAACATTGTCCTGATATAATTACATGTCTAAATCAAAGGCACTTTTCCTTCTACCTCACCTGGATCCTTAAATATGACAGTGCCATGTCTCCTCATAACATCTTGTCTCTTTGGTTTTCCAGTCAAAAGTACGTGCATTCACCAGTGAAATTGTCCTGGCTAAAACACCTGGCACCAGCGTCTACCTGGGCATCAACCATCATCCTGTTGACTCCCCTAGGCTCTAGTACAGTACCCTCTGCCAGTAGGAAGTAGTTAAAGAGAGAAATCTTCGCCCCTTTTCATAATAGTCATAAGATGGGATATGAAAGGCTTTTGGCCCAGACAGAACACCGTAGCTGGTGAAGGCTTGAAGGCGGAACCAAAGAGCTCCTAAATCCCCCACCCCTAGGAATTTACCTGTGACGCCATCTTCCTCGCTCCTGGAAACTTACCTATGGCACCAAACCTAGGACCAATGGGCTACCTATGCATCCCTGATGCCCCCTAAGGTTCCACCCCAAACCAAGCTTACTTACATACCCCTGACACCACATGTCCGCCAGAGAGAAAGCTGGACTCCAGTGGTCAGGGCGTGTCGGTTCTCTCTCTCCGTGTTCTCAGAATAAAGGTCTCTTTTGTTTTATACTTCTCATCTTCTGGATATAATCCTATCAATTTCATGAATTGTGCCATTATAATTTTTCATAAAAAGCCATCGCTATACCCAATCCTACCTAGATTTACTCTATATTATCTTCTAAAACTTTTTACAGTTTTGAATATTGTGTATAGGTCTATGATAATACTCTTAATTTTTGTTAAATTTGTAAGTTTTGTATTTAGACTGATTATTGTGCATGGATGTCTGCTTGTTACAGCACCATTTGTAGAACAAAAATACCTTTTTTCATTGCATTGATTTTGCTCCTTTGACAACCATCAGTTGACTGTGTTTCATACAGATTCCTTCTGGGCTATGTTATCCATTGATTTATTTGCCTGTTCTTTCGTCAATACTCCTTATCTTAATTGCCATAGCTTTTAAAGTCAGGTGATGTCCATCTCCTAACTTTGTTAGAGCTTTATTGCTACTATTAAGAACCATTCAGAAATGACTGTTTCTCATGCATGTCTTCCAGATATAGCTGACTTTTGGGTTTTGAGTCTTTGCAAGATCCTTCCTCTTCAGTTTGTCAGAAAGGAAAAGGTGCTGCCTATTTGGACTATCCTCTGGTTCTTTGGCACTGGTCATCTGGTAATCTCAGCCTTGACATAAGAACAATTGATTAGAACAGTTACATTATGTTGGCTAGTTGTACAGTAAGTAATATTATTATCAAACAGTCTAAAACATGGCAAACTATGGTAATTGTTTAATTTGCCACCTTTAACTCCATGAACTAGATTTGTGGTTATATAGCAAAATTTAAAATAAACCAAAAAACTGTCTACAGTAAATATGCCCTTAATATACTGATGTTACTCTCAGTGGGGAAAATTTAAAAGGGGTTCGAGAAAAATAGAGAAATAAAAGAAGAGAAAGAGATTAGAAGCAAGTTGAAGGACCAAGGAAGATCACACACACTTGGGGAAGTGATGAAGAGAGGCGGGAAAGAGGATGAAATAAAAACAATATCATAACAAAAGAACAACAAAAACCCCCAGAAACAATTTTCACACTTATAAAAATAAGAACAAACTATCAAGAAAAAAGTGAAAAATAAAAGAGAAATAAAATGCCTACTTCAGGGTATGTCCACATCAGGCATGGACTGCTGTCACTGGTAGAGTTGGGCAACAGAGTTCAGATCCTGTTGACAAATGCCAGTAGTAGATTTACAGCAGCATAGTGAACTCTCCCAGCAAGGCTGAACCTTTAGTTCCACTGTTTTCTGGTTGTGAGGCTAGAATCAAAGTTGTTCAGCTGGCGATACACATGTGCCTCCTGCCAGCTTGAAATGGGCTCTCTTGCTGACTTGAACTTTGCTTCTTGACCCCCTGTTGACCTGAACTCGGTTTCATCCCACCCTGACACTGAGAGCTGCTGGATGGAGTCAGCCCACAGCTTCTCTGAGGTCTGAGCTCAGTTGTCCCCTCTCTAAGATGGCTACCAGCTCATTGCTCTCTTCTAGCGGGACATGAGCCTGTGAATGACTCACAGCTATTGCAGTCCACTGCATCCACTGCTCCATTCCACGGGTGCATTTCTCTGTGGAGGCCTCTGGGGGTGCCAGCAGTCACCACGCATCTGCAGTTTTGAGTTCCCCCTCTTTCACCATGAACCAGGGCTCAGGGAGCAAGTGCTGTTTGCCACCTCCTCCTTCTGTGTTGAGATCTCTCTTTCTCCTCTCCCTGTGGGCTTCAGTTCTGGCTTTAGATCGTTGCTGGGTCCCAAAGACCCGCTTTCTTTTTTCTTGTCTTCCTGACATTGCTGCATTCCAGTATCTGGACACCACATCTCTGGAGGTGTTTCTCTGTTGCATTCTACTCCATCATTCCCCGAAGTCCACAAACCTTTTGTAAGGAACACAGAATATTATAATAAGTGTGTACTGATCCCCTAAAGTTTTAAAAATAGATCACTACCAACTACAGCCGTGTTTAAATTCTTGGAATTTAATATTTACTTATTTTGTTAAAGTTTTTTTCTTAGTACCTTTTAAAGATAATAATATTCTATGTAAAAGTCAGATACTTGTTTGTACTGCCATCAAACATTGCATCTATTGACTAATAATCAATATACTTTTAACATATGTGATAATCACTTTGATTCATTATTTAATGAACATTTATTGAATTGCTATAATATACCAGATGTTCAAGTTTTACTTAACCCTGAATAATTGCATTCCTGATCTGAAGTGAGATACTTTCTGTAACTTTATTTTTTGCACCAAAAAGTAAGTCTGAGGATTCCTTCAAGACCTCCCTCTGAGGAATCAGATGTACTTTTGGTTTCTTGCTGACATAAATGAATCTCTTTATTTTTAAGTGAAACTACCTATTTTGCTTATAGTAATCCTCTGCCTTTGATTTACAAGGCATTTGTGTTTTTGAGTTTTGATTTCATGAAACATGGTGATTATAGTTATGTATGAAGTGACTTCTATACCCTTATCTTTTAAAATAGCATGTATTGAATATTTGTCTCATAAGTGGAGATGTGATGAATATTTCTTCAGTAAATTGATAAATGTTTTGATTGGTGGTAGAATTTATTAAAGGAAAAAACAGAGTGGAGCATTTTTAGACAATAAATAAGGTCCTTATCAACTCAAACTTGGTTTTCTCCTGTGGCTCAAAAGTCTCTTGTACAGTCTTTGCTGTGTTTTTGAATTACGTACACTTTTCTGACTTGGATAAAGTCTCTCTCCATTTATGTACTTCACTTATGTAAATATCCCCCTCTGTTAAAATCGTCTCACCTGAAAAATATTCCTCCAGAGCAGTTTCTATTATTCCTTTAGCCATCACCTGACAGGTTATGATTTGGACCTAAGGTGCCTCCAAAGACTCATGTGTTCACAAAGTGACTGGGTTATGAGGACATTTAGTTGTCTTGCTAGCTGGCAGTGGGTCACTAGGGGTATGACTGGAAGATGTCTCCCTCCTTGAAATCCTTCTTTATTCTGTGCTTTCTGGCTACCATAAGGTGAGCAGCTCTCCTCTGTGTAAGACCATCTTTAATGCCTTTATGCACGGGAGCCTGCCAATGGTGGATTGAAAGCATGAGCCAAAATAAGTAAGTTATGGGTGTTGGAATTTTTATTTTAGCATCAAGAAAGTGACTAAGACAACCTATAAAGACTTTGGGTTAAAAAGAGAAGTATTCAAATCATTTTCTCCAGGCTTTCAGTTTGTCTTTGAATCAGTCAAATGCCTTGCTGCTATGACACATACAGTTTACAAGAGGAGAGGCTTGTTTTTGCTCATGGTTTCTAAGGTTTCAGTCCATGGTCAGTAAGCTCCAAGGCAGGAACACTGTGATGTAAGGAAAAGAACTTCCTATTTCATGGCATCCGGGAAGCAGAGAGCAGAATAATGAGCCTAAAAGGGAGGAGTCAGGAACAGATAAAATCTCCTGATTCACATTCCCATGACCCATTTTTATCAACTAGACCCCACTTCATGATAGACCATTCAGTTATAAACTCATCAGTGGATGAAACCATTGATGAGATTATTGCCTTTGCAACCCAATCACCTCCCCAAGAATGTCTTAATCCAAACAAGTTGACAATCAGCTGTTTACTAACTTTTTCAAAGGGAAAGTATGATGCGGTCATTACAGGAAGTGGACTCTTTTCCTCTCTATATTTTAGATAAGTATATCTCTTAAAAATTCCAAACCAAATCATTTCAGTAAGCAAGCAAAGTGTTATATAAAAGAGTTTGTTTCCCCTAAGTGAAAGCCTAAGTCAGTTCACTGGGGAGCAAAGAGGTTCCTGTATCCACTCTGCAGATGTACTGATTGGGCTTTAACTGTTTAAACAATGTGATTTTAGGTTACTAAAGATACCCAAGATAAAAGATCTTTATGGTTTCCCTTTTTAAAAATCAGTCATTTGTAACTTCACTGTCCTTTTAATATTGAATACACATTTTGAAATTGATAGTGTTCTGCTTCATAAGATAATTTATGCCATTTTATTTAATGACTGCAGAGTGATTTAATAGTTTTCTGGTTAAGAGATATAGAAAGATCTAAATACAGTCCCTAGGAATGTTGATAAAAGGACAGAATTACTTTGAAGTCAATGTAAATTTTGAGACATTGGAATTGAGATTCTTAAGTAAAAGGGAAGAATGGAAATAAAAATTGTTTATACCTTTGGAGTTAGAGCTATAATTTTGTATACCTGAAAAAGATAGGAAAGATAATTACAACAAATAGTTGAACTTAAAGGAGGTTTTAGGAACTTAAAAGCTTAATATAAGGCACTAGATGTTGGAAAATAAGAAGTAATTGTACCACTGAGATACCCGTTTAGTTTAGCTAAAACTCAGTAAGTAAGTTTTAGTCACACTACTCAAATGTTCCAAAATGGCTTTTGGCTAACCCCCAAGTTTCTAAATGAACTAGCCTAGTCAGGCCTTTCAACCCACTTAGAACTGAGATTCTCTGGTAAGGAATCAAGGAATTAAAACAAAGTTTATGCTCCTAGCTTTTAAAAAAGGAATCAGCTCTCTGCCTCCTTACTATCTTGGTAAGCATTTTCCTTATCTAGCCCTTACCCTTCTCCTTATCTTGTCCCTTGGAGCTATGTTACTCCTGTGACTTGTCCTGTGCATTTTGAAAGCAACCTTTTTGGGACTCCTTGACTACTAACTGCTTTTTCCCCAGAATTCTGGTTTTGGTTTCCCCTTTGCCTTAACAATCTGTTCTTTGAAAAATTTCATGTTGCTAAGAGACTCAATGTCAAGTTTCATTGCCCTAGCCAAGAGCAAATCCCACAGATCACAAGTTTACTATGAGGAAAGGAATTTCAACATGGTGATTATGCAAGCAACCTGAAGAAACAGATGAAAGGTTAACCTGAGCAGAGCAAGAGCTCAGACACTCATGGAAAAGCAGACAGACAGCATTCCCCACTTTGGCACTGATGGTAGCTAGCAGGGCTAAATATTTAACATTAAGCCTAAGTCAGTTCACTGGGGAGCAGAGAGGTTCTTGTATCCACTCTGCAGATGTATTGATTGGGCTTTAACTGTTTAATAAATGAATCTAGAAAGAGAAGGGTCAGGACAGCATATCTCTATGATAAGAAAGTCCAAACATCTGCCAATGTGAAAATAAATGACTGTCTTCGCTGCAGAATAGAAAGGAAGTGAAAAAAGGAACTGTGGTTATTAATAAAAGATCAGAAATCTTGCCTACATATTATTCTTTTTTACTCTTTTCTTTGATTCTTCATCCCCAAGAAACAAGGCTAAATGTGTTTCTTCAATGAAACACTGAATATAGCACAGTAGACCCAGGTTTACATTTTGGCACCACATCACCATACCATCTTCCAAAATTTTGCCATCATCCTAATCTCTGTCGTCCAAATTTTTAAAAATGAGGTGATATACAAATATTTATCTCATAGTATTGTTAAGCAAAATAGCAGAGGTGGCTATTACGGCTTTGCGTCAGGATGCTTGCCCTCCCTTCTTCAAGGTGCTCATCAGTCTTGTTTTTTCCCACTTTTTCTGAGCCCCAGCTCGCTCTGCAGAGCAGGTTTCTCCCCTGCTTTTCACTTTTACTTTCTCAAATAAGCTAAGCCCCTGCTTTTTGCTTACTTTGTTCAATTCTTTGTTTGAGATAAGAAGAATCTAGAATCTAACTCCAGATGGACAGGTGAGCAACCAGGAACCTGGTCACATTTAATTGGTGAGCCACATTTAAGAGAAGGCCGCCTGATAACACATGTGTATGTGCCAAAACATGTATATGCTCTGTCTTTTTTTTTTTTTTTTTTTTTTTTTTTCGTCTTTTTCCTTTTTATCGGTACCGGGGATCGAACTCATGACTGCCTGCTTTCAAGGCAGGCGCTTATGCCGCTGAGCTAAACCCCCAGCCCTTAGATGTATATGCTTTGTCATGCATGCATGTTTTATAAGGAATGAGCATAATGCTCAGATATCATTTGTGTGTGTTTGTGTGTGAATACAGAATGTGTAAAAATGAAATATTTACAATGCACTTAAAAGACAATATTTGGACCTCTGGGTTTGCAGACAGCAATAGAAGACTAGATTGTTATCATATGGGAGGTTTATTGGAAACATCAGTGGCACCATCTCTGAGGTCATTTCCAAGGTAATTCTGTTTCTAAAAATTCAGATGTACAATAAGATTGAAGTTTGTTTTTTAATAAATGGACTTCTTATAAAATCCTTACTTATTCTCAGATGCTAAAAATAAAAAACTGTATGCCTGAAAAACTTTATGCTACAGTACACAAAATTATGCTTCTCCTAATTGCTTCGTCTGTCCTTCAAACCGCAAAGTCAAATCTAACTGCACAGGAAAGGAAAATGTTCACAGACTTATGATAACTAAACTTAGTCAAAGAGGCATAACACTGAAAGCTAAAGATCATCTTTGATTATTTAGTTTATTGTCATTATTATTTACTCTCTTGTGGTTGTTTAAAAATTTATGTCATAAAAAGGTAAAAAGAAATTATGCAATGTATTGAAAAATTTCCATTTTCCCCACTTTACTTTTCATTATTTAATTTCTTTCTCTACTTTCTTTCTCCCATATTTCTTTCGTTCAAGTATAAAACTTTGAAAATATGAATTCTGGTAGGAAATGCAATAAGATTATATCAAAAAGAAATGTTTGTCTTTAAATGAGGTAGAAGGATATTCTGTTTAGAGCCATGAACTATCTACTTTGTCTGGGATTTGCCTGCATAGACATGTAGAGAAATGTGATAAAGAAATGTAACTGTTAGAGAAAAAGCAAAGAAAACTTGGTCAGGAATTAGCAATGTAACAGAAAGGCTGCCAGCAGTGAGGAAAGCCAACTCAAGAGAGAGGTCACGAGAGCTGAAACTAGCCATGCGTGTCAAATGGACGTGGTCATTCAAATCCTTTGGGGTTCTATCTCTCTGGAACTTGTTGCAGTTCTGTCTATGTAACAACAGGATTTAAGGCTTGCTTTGTTGGATTTCAGTCTTGCTTTGGAAGATTCTTGTCTCCCTATTTCTTCCATTTGGAACAGAATTTTTTTTTTCTTTTTGAGGAAGAAGGCCACTGTATTTTGCTTGAAATTGCGTAAAACACTTTGGATGTCTTAACAATATCAATTCTTTCAATGTATAAATATGAGATACCTTTCCTTTTGTGATATTTATTCTTTTCAATACTTTTTAAATCAAAGACTTGTGGCTTTTTATTGTAGAGGTCATGTGCTATAAGATTCAGTTTGCTAGTATTATGTTGAATTTTTCCTTTATTCATCAGGGACATTGGTTTTTAATTTTCTTTTCTTTTTTGTATTGTCCTTGACTGGTTTTGGTATCCGAGTAAGATTAGCTTTAAAAAATGAGTTTGGGAAACTTTCTTTTTTTTCACAACTTTTTGGAATAATTTGAGAATTGTTAGTTCTTCCTTAAAAACTCGATAAATTCAGCAGTGAAGCTATCTGTCCTAGACTTTTCTCTCCTGGGAAATTTTTATTACTGACTTAGTCTTTTTACATGCTACTAGCCTAGTAAGGTTTTGTATGTCTTAATAGTTGAATAAATTTACTGTGTTCAGAAATTTATCCATTTCTTTTAGATTTCCAGCTTGGTGATGTACTGTGGTTTATAATACTGTTTAGTAATCCCTTGTATTTGTGGGGTATCAATTTTAATGCTTCCTTTTTTAAATCTCTGAGTTCATTTATTTGAGCTTTTTGCTTTTTGGTGGTAATTTAGATAAAGTTTTTTTTTAATTTAATGTGTTTTTTAGGAAAGTGAATTTTATTGATTTTTCGGCTGTTATCTCTTTCTATCCTGAACTCAGTTATTTCCTAACACTGATTTTCTATTTGGTGATTTATTATTTTTCTATTTCACTGAATTGAATAATTAAGTTTTTTATTTGAAATCTTTTAATTTTTTTATTTTGAAGAGAAGAAATCAAGAATGAAGAAGCAAACAAATAATTAAAAAACAGCACCAAAAGCAAAGCCACAACAGCAACAATACAATAGTGAGACAGGATTTCAAAACAAGATGATCGCAATTTAACCGTGGTTATTATATTGTATAATATTATCCTTAAAGTAATTGTTCAGGCTACCAGATACAGGTATGCAAGACTGATCAAACAATATAATTTCCTTTTGATCCGTTTCTTGAAATCTTTTAATTTTTTGATGAGGAAACATTGCTGTAATTTTCCCTTTGGTACTGCTTTTGTTGTACCCCATAGACTTTTGTATGTTGCACTTCCTTTTTAGTTTGTTTTAATTTTTAATTTCCATTTTGTTTTTTTTATTAACCCATTGGTCACTTAAGAACATGTTGATTAATTTTCATGTATATACAATTTCCAAAATTCTTGTTTATTTCTACTTTTTTTCTATTGTGGTCACAGAAGATACATGAGTTTTTAAAATTTGTTGAGATTTGTTTTCTGTCTCAATATGCAATCTATTTCAAAGAATATTCCACGTAGTGAAATAAAGAATATGTATACTCCAGCTTTTGGATGACATATTCTGTGATTTCTGCATTATATCATTAAACACCACTGCATCTTTGTTGATTTTTTTGTGGTCTAAATTATCTGGTCACTGATAAAAGTGGAGCATTAAAGTCCTGAGCTATGATTTTATTGAGATATAGCTTTGCATTTAGATCTAGAAATATTTATTTAAATACATGTTAAACTCCAAGTTTTTATTGATATGTGAATACTTATTCTTTTTACTTTTCTTAATTTTGTTTTAATCATTTTGTTCAAAGTATATTCTTTTATTCCTCTATTGTCCATCTTTGTGGTTTGATTGCTTTCTGTACTGGTAAGCTTTAATTTTTTTCTCTTTTTTGTTTCTACTCTATTAGTGAGTTTTATACTTCCACATGTTACCATTCTTTGGCTGTAGATGTAGGACTCCCTTAAACTTTCTTTTTTGGGGGGAATGGGAGACTGGTATGGTAATGATATATTGTCTCAGTTTTTGTTTGTCTAGAAAAAATTTATTTCACCTTTCTTTCTGAAAGGAAGCTTTGCTATGTCTAGTATTCTCAGCTGACAAATTTATTTTGGTTTTGTTTTAGGACTTTGAATATATCACTCCAATTTCTCCTGGCCTATAAGATTTCCAGTGAGAAATCTGTTGGCTAATGGAGACCCCTTTATCCGTGATTTTTCTCCTAATATTTTAAAAATTCTATCTTCACCCTGGAATTTGGAGTTTGACTACTATATCCCTCAAAAACAATCTTGAATCAAATCTAATTGAGATTCTTCAAATTTATAGGTTTGGATGTCCGTATCTTTTCTCTTGTCTTAGTTACTTTCTTCATTGCTGAAAGAAAATATCCAACACCCACAACGCCAAGAAGAAAAGATTTACTTGGCTTACAATTTGTAGAGGTTTCAGCCTGTACTGAGCCAATTATAAGGTATGGTGACATGGCAGACAGGCATTCCAGAAGGGAGACAGCTCATGGCATGGCCGTCAAGAAGCAGAGAAATCAAGGGAGCAGGGATGCCCTTCTTGACCAGACTTCACCTCTCAGCATGAGTTAATTTTAAACTCATCAATCCATTGATGAATGTCACTCCAATCACCTCCTAAAAGTCCCACCTAGGACACTCTGAAGTTTTGGGGAAGCATCAAAATATAAACATAAACTCTTCCTCCAAAAATATAGAATGCTTTCAGCAATTATTTAATTAACTAGATTTTCAATGCCTTTTCCCTTTTCTTTTTAAAATTGTTTTTGTTTTAAAGAGAATAAACCAAACAAAACAGCACAAAGCAGGTCATAACAAAACAATGCAAGCAACACAGAATTTGAAAACAAAACAACAGGAAATCAACAGTGGCCACCATAATGTCCCCTTGTTTTCTTCAAAATATTTGTCCATATCTTCACACACAATGAATTCAAAAAGACAAAATAGTATAAAAATTACCAAAACAAAAGAATGAAAGCATTCCAGGTCTTCAAAACCAGACAATAGGAAATTCAACAATGGCTACCATGTCTCTTGCTGTCTTCAAAATAGCTGTCCATACTTTCACACATATGAAATTAAGTAGTACAAAACAGACTAAAGCCAATCAAAACAAAGAGTAAACTGGGCTTCACAGCAAGATGACAGGAGATCATCAATGGATACCATAATGTCTTGTTTTCTTCAGAGTAGCTGTTCATACCATCATATGTAATAAAATCAATTCTTGTAAACTCCTTAGAAGTTCTAAGCATGTACAAGCCTGTATATGTACATCTATCCTTTCTATATTAGAATGAAAAACAAAATAAAACAAATTACTAGAAAACAAGAAACATAAGACTAAAACAATGACAATATAGGCTTTTAAAACAAGGTGATATAATAAACATAACTAAGTTATCCTTAGAAGTTACTTAGATTACCACATATAAACTTGGAAAATTGATCTAATTCTATGAATGCTGTTTTGTTCTAAGAACTAATAGAATTAGTAGCACCATCATCTTAGCTATCTTAAGTGTGTATATACACACATATATATTTTTCTTTTCCCTTCTTTCTTTTCTCCTTTTCTCTGAGTTATTTTTCCCCTTTGAGCAGTTTTTTATCCTTTCACAATATTTATTTCAGATTTTGTATCTTATTTATTCTTTCAATTTCCTACACTCTAGGGAGAAAATGAATATTTACACATGTGAGTTTGATATGTTTCACTTGTCAATATGGTCACAAGACTCATCCATTTACCTATAAAAGCCTCAAGGTGATCCTGCTTTATAGCTGAGTTGTACTCCATTGTATAAAAATACCACATATGTTTTATTCATCCCTCAGTTTATGGGCATTTACTTTGTTTCCAAGATTTGACTATTACAAATTGTGCTGCTATGAACATGGGTACACATATATCATTGTGGTACGATGTTTTCATTTCCTCTGGGAATATGTCCAGAAGTAGAATGACTGAGTCAAATGAGACTTCCAATCCCAGCTCTTTGAGGAAACTCTACACTGAGTTCCACAGTAGTTGCACAAGTCTACACTCCCACCAACAGTGCAGTAGAGTTCCTTTTCCCCTACAGCCTCTCCAGCATTTGTTATTCATAGTTTTCTTGATCCTGGCCATTTTTTCTGGAGTGAGATGGAATGTTGGTGTGGTTTTAATTTGTGTTTCTCTAATGACCAATGTGTCTGAACATTCTTTCATGCATTTATTTGCCATTTGTATTTCTTCAGATGAGAAGTGTGTATTCATCTCAGATGCCCATTTTTGGATTGGGTCTTTGAACCAAACAAGGCCCCAAGATAAAATGGGGGGCAAGACGTCTTTAAAAGAGTGCTTTATTTTAAGCTAGTACATAGCGGCACAGTGCAGATGGAGTTTGAAAAGCTGTGCAACTGGGTTAGAATTATGACAGATATTTATTAGCTCATTGACCACTCAAGTACATAGTGATGAGAAACAGAAACAAGGTGGGCCTTTGTTCCCTTTTGCCTGAGATCAGAGGCACTTCACAGTGGGTGGTTAGCCAATTCATAGCCTTGGTCTGCCAATTCCAGGAACGTTTGTCTCTTGCAAAAGGAACAATGGTTGACACAACATCATTTGTCTCTTACAAAGGGAACAAAGGTTGACACAGCAAACAGGTTACTCGGAGGACAATGCATACAGAACAGCATGATGATGCGGTCGGTTAATCTATAACTATGTGGTTAGTGTGTGGTTACTAAGGTAAGGAGTACAGCACAGAATGACAATACTGCTAATAACTATCTTTTTAACTAACTATTTTTGCTAATAACAACCTTTTTAATGAACTATTTTAGGTTTTTAGTATTTTAGTACAACAGGGGGCTGGTTGTTTTTGATTCTTTATATGTTGTAGAAAGAAGTCTGTTGTTTGAGGGACAGTCAGCTAAGATTTTTCCCCAATTTGTGGGCTTCTTTTCACTATCTTGAAGATTTCTTTTGACATGAAAAAACTGTTTAATAAGATGAGATCTTTGTTATTGATTCTGGGGAGCTTTTCCCGTGTGGTTTGATTTTTGTTTATGAATTCTCTGCCTACCCCTGTGTCTTCAAGATTTCTAGCTACTTTGTCTTTCAGTAGATTTAGTGTTTCTGTTTTAATATTTAGATCTTTGATCCATTTTGACTTCAGTTTAGTGCATGGTGATAAGCATGGGTCTAGTTTTACTTTTTTGGCATATGGAAAGCCAATTTTTTTCAACACCACTTATTAAAAAGGCTGTCTTTCTTCCAGTGAACATGTTTGGCTCCTTTTTCAAAGATAAGGTGGCTGAGTGTGTTTGTACTTGTGGTTTTATCTTCTAATCTATCCCATTGATCTTCAGATCTGTTTTTATTCCACTACCATGCTGATTTTATTACAGTGGCTTTGTAGTATAACTTCAAGTCAGAGATTGTGATACCTCATGCCTTGCCTTTGTTGCCTAGTGTTGCCTTTGCGATTCTAGGCCTTTTCTGGTTCCAGATGAATTTTAAGAATGATTTCTCTAAGTCTGTGAGGTATGGTAGTGGTAGTTTGATTGGGAGTGCATTAAATCTGTGTAACAATTTTGGGAGAATGGCCATTTTCACAATATTTGTTCTTCCTATTCATGACCAAGGAGTGTCTTTCCATTTTCTGAGATCTTCTTCAATTTATTTTTTCAGAGTATTGTAATTTTCACTGAATAGATCTTATTACTTCCTTTGTTAGATTGAGTCCAAGTATTTGGTTGTTTTGAATGTTATTGTGAAGGGTGTGGTGTCTCTCATTTCTCTTTCAATGAGTTTGGTGTTCATGTAGAGGAATGCTATTAATTTTTGAGTGTTGACTTTGTATCCAGCTACATTACAGAATTTAGCTATTATACCTAGGAGTCTTTCAGTGGAGTTTTGAGGATCTTCTAGGTAGAGTATCATGGCATCTGCAAATAATGATAATTCAACTTCTTTTCCTAACTTTTTCCCTTTTATTTCTCTCTCTTTTCTTGAAATAATGCTTTGGCTAATATTTCCAGCACTATATTGAATAATAGTGGTGAAAATGAACATCCTTGTCTTGTTCCTGATTTTTAGAGTAAAAGCTTTCAGTTTTTGACCATTTAATATGATGTTGGCTGTTGGTTTATCATAGTTGGCTTTTATCATATGGAGGTAAATTTTCAATTTTTTGTATGGTTCTTATCATGAATAGTGTTGGACTTTATCAAAAGCCTTTTCTGCATCTATTGAAATGATCATGTGATTCTTATCTTTTGCTCTA